ACTTGGGTCTTTTCAACTAGACTTCTTGTTATTCAATTTTAACAGATTTACATAACTACAAAGACTTATCTAGTATTTGTACTACCCAATTGCTAGTTTGCATTTCTTTGTATAACTACAGACATTGTTTCAAAGGACAATATCACATGACTGTTATATAAATGCCTCATAACCTGCCAGTTATGCTGGTGTAATTGTTATTACAAATATTCTAACTCAATTATTAGTAACAGTTGCCATAATATAAATATTACATAGATAATTATTCAAATTTTCACTATCGATGGGATTTGAACATCCAATTTACTATTTGGAAGGTTGACAATCTGACCATTTTACTAGATTATCACACCCTAGTTTTCTATTTTAAAAATACATCTTTATAATTGCTATTACTAGAATTAAACTGGCAGTTTTGCAATTTGTAACTTTAGAGCATAATTGTTATACTATTAATTCTAGAAGTTTATATAAAATTTTAAATTTTGTGAATAGTTATATTATATAAACAATAAATTATATAGTATTATTTAGCTATTAAAAACTATAATATATTTTAAATTTAAGTTCAAACTATATAAAATAAAATTAATTATAATTTCAAAACAAAATTATTGCTTAGCCCAAGTCTTATTTTATTTTATTGTATTTTGAGATTACAATCTTATATAAAATTAAAAATTTGATCTAACTTTCTTCATAAATCACTAAAACTAACTTTTTTTTAATAAACCATTCAACTTTTCTTAATATTTTACTAAACTAATAATCTTTAAACTTTTAATTAAATATTTACTTTATAATTTTTTATTCTAAAAGCATTTATATTTAATTTTTTAATATAATAAACTTTTTTTTTTTTTAAACTAGTTTCTTTCGAAGCTAGAGCTTTTTATTCAGTAGTTAGAATATAGAGACTCATGATCAAAGCCTCAAAGAAGTCTTTTATATTTAAGAGTACAACTAGTCACATGTATATTTTTGATATCCAATTAAGTAGTCCACTAATAGTTTTATACTAGCTGTCATACCTGTAACCAAACTAGGAGTGTTGCTTATTTAAATCTTCTGTATTGCAATCTTTGCTGTATCATTAAATCATTTCTATTATATAAGTTAGTCAAAAAGATCTAGATGCTTACTTGTATTCTTAGGATTCTATATCTTATTTCATGCAATGTATTCTCAGAAGCATTATTACTAAAGCCTTTTATGTTTTATATACAGCTAATCTAGTTTTATATAACATGCTATAGTTACCTAATACTTGCAGTTAGGACTATCTAAAACTGCTATATTATATTATTTCTACTTTTGTAAAGTTCACCCAAGTTCTGATATCTATCTTTCTAATATTTTCTTTATCATCTCTTACTAACTACAACTCAAAACTGACAGACTTCCTAGATTTTTAATTCAGATAACCTGATATAATATACCTTAGTATCTTTTTCCTTTAACAATTCTAGTAGCCTGGTTGGTCATATGCTCCTTTACACATCTTGTTATTTGATTTATCTGCCTGTTTCTATAAAGGTGTTTTATAAGCTTCTATTGGTCTAATAGTACTGTTAAAAGTTTGTGTTACCTCTTTACTTGGAAATTTCCAAGTAGGATTCCATCTCCTTAGTTCCTTAGTCTTCTGCATCTAGTGGTCTTATCATAGATTTGCACTGAAGTCTTATGCAACATTGGTTATTAATATTCTTTTATATATATATAATGTTACATTTTGCATAGATGCCTCAAGCTCCTAATAATAAGTAGGACCTGACTTAATGTACTTAGATTACAGCTGCATGAGGCCAAACAATCAACAGGAGACAGTTTCTATAATACAGATTAATTTTCAAATTTTATTATAGGTGAGATTTGAACCTTAGACCTACTACTTGGAAAATAACAACCTAACCACTATACTAGGATTACCATCCTTATAACAAACTTTTATATTTTAATAAAATTATCTTTATTTATAATTTTTTTTAAGTTTTCTTAATTTATCTTTAATTATACTCTTTTACTTTTAAATAAACTAAGTATACTAAACTTTTTGTTTTCAACTATACTAATTTATCAAATTTTAATTATTATATTATATACAAACTAATATTTTTTAAAAAAATAATTTTTACTAAATTTTTTTTTTTGTATTGAAGTTCTTACTTTTAGAAAATAATTTTTATTTAAGTTTATAGAACACAAATGCCTTTAAGAGCTTTCTTATATAAGAGGTTATATTTAGTTATATATGCATTTTTGGTGCCTAAATTAAGTAGTCTGTCTATATATTACTATATAGGTTCTATACTAAATATTATATCTCTAGAATAATGAATATTATTTAAACAATTTTAACTAATTTAGATGAACTTTGGTTACTCTAATAGATTTAAGCTATAGATAAATATGCTTAAGATCTTATTCTTGCATATAATATTTTTAATACTTAGAGTTATAGTTTTATAGTTAGCAGTTTAATAATTAGTCCTGATTGCAAGTATTAGTTTTAGTCATGACATATGTAGAACTTCTTTTTGTACTCAGTAACTTTATATAGTTACTATTTAATAACTATGAATAAAGATAAAAACAAAGCTTTATCTTAATACCAAAAAAAATAAGAATTAAAAATTTTATAAATTTTAAAAAGATTTTTATAATTTTGTATATATGTGTTGTAATATATCTATAAGATCATATATAATATAAAATTAAAACAAATTAATTAATACATTAATTTAAAATAAGAGCTAGTATTAAGATAGTTTAGAATTAAGTAATAATAAAAATAATTTTAATATCAAATTTTGCAAGAAAATTTTTTTATTAGAATATGAAAAGTAGTTTTATAAACAAAATTTTGAATTACAAATAATTTGTAAAAAAATTAATATTTTCTTTTAATTTTATATTACATTTAATTTTATAATCTAATTGGTTAATTAGATAGGTGCATTATAATGCATATATGCTAAATTATATAAGGGAATTGCTATTCGCACCATGGATTTTTGCTATTCACATCATCACTTTGATTATGTCACCAATAGAATTTATATCACGATAATTTTATATTACACAATAATTTTTATTACGTAGAATAAAATTTAAAGAACCTATACATAATGATAACAAGTCTACATACAAAAATACTATTCCTAATTGATCATCAGTACTGTTCCTAATGGGTTAAAAAAAAAACAATTTACATACTGTTCCTGATAGGATCCTAAAAACTACATTACTATTGAAGTATAAACTATTGCGCAAAAATTTAAAGCCTGATAATAACTGCCTAATCTAATTGAAAGATTAATTGTTTAAGAAAAAACAGTAGATTGTTAAATAACTCTACAATTATTTTTCGATCATAAAACTTTTTACAAAAAATTTAGATATCTGTATTTATTATATAAAAGAACATGTTAAAGTAAATTATTAGTTTACATCGATATCAATCAGGAGTCAAGACTTTGGCATCTATATTATAATTAAACATTTCATAAGAATTTAGCTTCGGGTTTAAAAATCCTATCAGGAGTGGTACATAATTTGTTTTTTTTTCTATTCCATCAAGAACAGTTCTAACAATCCATATTTTTGCAGTCTATACTAATACATTAAATGTACAGCATACAAATTTTTATACTAAAATATAGTATGTGTATACATGTGTATCTAAATTATTTTATATTTCAGCATTACTAAATTTTTTATATGAAGCTCTCTGAAATAACTATATTATCATAATGAAAAAATTTCGGCAATAATTTCAGCAATAATTTTGGCAATAATTTTGGCACTATATAAGACTAATTTTGGCTGCCTAAATGCTATAATTACTTTTTTTATTAAGATGGCAATTTAGGCACACATGTATACAGCATGTGGAAGCTAACGGTTTAAGGGAAAGTTGTTTTTTTTATTTTTACAAGTGAAAAAGTAAAAACTAAATCTAATTTTGTTCTCTATTATTAGAACATGTTCTACTATTATGGCCAGTTAAATGACATAGACCGCATTTCCTAATATGTCTTCCTGTTTTAGTCAATTCAAAGGTGAATGGATCTCGTTGAGTAGATGATTGAATATTTCTTGCTCCAAGTAGACATTCTCTCGTTTGTTGCACTTGTAGATTTTGAACAACTATAGCTAATTCCTGGAATAAACCTGACATTTCGTCTAAAGCCGCTGATTGTTGATGAGCTAGCCAAGAGTTAAACTGTTGACTATATTTTTGCCAATGCTGCTGCAAAAGATCTTCAGTTACAGTTGGTATTTGTGAAAGTAATTGGTGCCTTTGAAGCCACCAGTGTTCATGGAAATCTGCAAGCTGTAAGTATTGGTTATTAGTAAGATATTCTTGAATTTTATGAGAGCAAGGAAGGCCTATCAACGATGTAAATATATAGGTACAAGGTTGTAATGGGTTTTCTGTAGTCACATAGAATACTTTTAAAAATTGTTCATGTACTTTTTTCAGCGCAAATACAGACACCTTGGTAACTATTTGTGAATAGAATGGCTTATTTTGAGCATGGGGAATTCAAATCATCTCTTGAGAAATCATGGTTTGGATTTCTTAATATTGATTCTCTAATGCCAGAGAAATTTTTTCATGAACAATGTGGAGATCACCAGTTGACACTTGAATATATTTTTTTATTATCACATGAGAACCTTCTACTCATGATGTTGTTATATTACCCAAATGCAAATAACAATCTATTCAAAAGCTCACAAAGTGTTTCTTAAATGGTAACCATACATTCTGCAGATAATTAACAACTAATTGTTTTTAATTATATCTTCTTGCCAGCTCTTTCCAATTGTCATTAAAATCATCTTCTGTCTTAGACTTTGTAAGAGTAGTCCAACTTCTCAAAAACTCTGTCAACTCTTCATTTGAAGGGAAGTGATTACAGCAATTGGATAGCACATTTTTCTCAATGTGCCAGATACATAAGAAATTTTGTGATTCGGAAAAAATGATTCATATAGCGTGCATCAATGCTAGCTCTCGGTTGGTTACAATAATTTGAGGTTTTGGGATGTTAGCAAAAATGTTGGAAATATAAGTGAGTGCCTATTTATAATCCTCTTCTTGTTTTGATTTTAGAAACACGAAGCAGGAAGAGAATATAGTATTAAAACTTGTCATATCAACAACATGAAGAAGTAGCATTCTAAACTTATTAGTTTTATATATGCAGTCCATCAAGAGAACAGTGTTGTAAGTTTTAATAAGTATTATTGATATAGGATGTGTGAAGAAGAGGTGAGTTAAATTGTTATCATGATCACATTGGTAGTTATGCTCAAAGTTTCCTTCTTTGAGCTCATCAAGAAGGGCTTGAATTGGTGTGCAACCCTAAAAATTATCATGTTTAATCTTATCCCGAGCATTATAGATAGTCTTTGAGATTGCTGCAAGATTTGGATTATTTTGATAAAGAGATGAAAGCATCTTCTGAAGACAGATACCTGATGCAGACATTTGCTGAACTATTTGCTGCTCTTCCGCATTAAGTCTGCGACTTGATGGATGGTCTGACATGTCTTCTGATGCTTCATAGTTATGGTCTGCGTTTTTTATTGTCAAATTCCATTGCCCATCTTTCTTTTTTCCATAGAGTTCAAAAGAACAATCTATTAATCGTGAACTTGTGGCTCTTTGGCAAGTTTCATCTGTGAGATTTAAGAAATTTCTGTAGACACTGCCTCTATTATAGTGCAAATAGACGAATTTATCTCTTTCTGATCTTTTTATGCATACTACATATCCTTGGCTTAAAGCATATGTTTGGACATGTTAAATGAGAGTTTTATAGCTTTTAAACGAACCAATTGAAGGTGGAAGCAATGCCATTTTTAAGGCTATTAATAAGTAAAAATTCTCTATTAATGGGTCTATTTACTACACTATTAATTAAGAAAAAACCTCTATTGCAGAACTATTCAGTATCTCGTTAATCTAATCAATAACCTGTATAGCAGCATATTTAATGATTTTTTTGGTAACTTTGAAGAAAATAATCAATAGTAAGATATGAGTAGCAGGATTCTGAATTATGAGATTCGAATGTAATAATATAGTAACTATCAATGGGTTATACAAAGTAATATAGGGTCGAATATGCATAATGAATTTAATTTATTAAATATAATGTATTTTGCAGATGGATTAATCAGGTTTGCTTATAAAGCTTCTCACCAAAGACGTGTTATTAGTGGTTCGATGTTAAATTTATTAATTTAATTGTGCCTTATATTTTATGAATATCTTTACTATAGTTATCACGGACTGATTTAGGAATGTATAATTAAGTTTTAAGGTTGTATGCACGGTTTATTTAAGGATTTTTTTTAGTAATTATGTTATTATGTTATTGTTATAGTCCCGAAGGAGCTTGCTTTACAAAGGAGAAATTACAGCTCTTTTTATAACATTTGGACTTCAGAGCTAAGGTAAAGTTATTCTAAATTACTCTTGTTTCTATTCTGACATGAGACATGATTGGTCTCTTTTCCCTATACTATGATATTATTCCTGTCATCACTCTCGTCATCATTCTTCATCACCACTCTTGTTATCGTTCTTCATCACCACTCTCATCATCACTTACAATTTGTAGAACAACGTGATGATAGGTGGACATGTTTATTCATAGTAATTACCTTATCTGTCAATCTTAACATCGCCACCTTCATTTTTAGATGCAGCTCTGACCTATTTTCTAGGTCTATTCTTTTATCTCATAACAGTATACTTTAAGTATGTAATTTCTAATAGCGAAACTGAAAAAAAATAAAAATAATAAACTCTTTAGGATCAAAGTAAACAATTTAAATTATTTATTTCGTAGTCAAGTTGAATTTTTAATTTTTATTCAAGCTAAATGAACCTATTTAAATACATTTTTCATCTATCTAAAAATCTTGTATCTTTGTTATAGCCCTTATACCATCATTAATAATATTCATGCAATTTTTCTAACTTGCAATAACTTATTTTAGTCATATTATGCTTCTCGTGCTGATCTGAATAGCTTTGAATGCATAATCCAAATAATTTAAGCAAAGCTTATATCTATAAAAGAAAACTGTAATTAAAATAGTTTCTCATATTTGGGATGATTATGTAATTCGATTTCTGCAGTTGGAATGTTAATTGTTCTTGCAATAATTATCAGCCGACTTTTGAGCAAGTTTATGCAAAATTGGTATTTTTAACTAATTTTTGTCTGATAAGTTATAGAAAAGTTATTTCTCTATAACAGTATCTAATAGAAGTTTATCAGTTTTTGTATTAGTTTCTGAGCAATTTAGATGGGACTGGTTAGGGACCAATTAACAAAATTCTCTCTACACTGCTCTGTCCCTTAAACTTCTATTAGAGACTGTTATAGGGAAATAACTTTTCTATAACTTTACTTATCAGACAAAAATTAGTTAAAAATGCCAATTTTGTATAAACCTTGCTCAAAGTTAGCTGATAATTATTGCAGAACTGATTAACATCCCTACTTGCTTGATGTAACCAAATTCATCTTGGTTATGTAATTAAGGATAACTATTGTTATTCGGCTAACACAGGTCGAACGAATAAATAAAGAGTAAATAATAGGTAAATAACAGAAAAAAAAACTGCCATTATTCTACCCTATATCTGCCAAATAATAGCAGTATAACAGCAGCATAACAGCAAAATAATAGTAAAATAA